AGTTTACTTGTTCGATTCTGAATACTAGTTGAAAAGCTCTCCATAGGCGTTCAATGATAAAATCCGCGATAATCAGATGAGCAAAGGCCCACAGCCTTCAGCAACCGCCCTCCTCTTTTTCATGGGAGGCGGTGGCGGAGGTGGTTCAAAAGGGCAGGTTTACCACCCGTGCAATCAGGGGATCAACATCCAGATCGACTCCTATCCAGGTCACCCGAGTCTACAAGTCTGGTGAATTGCTACTAGTTCGTCTGTGAGGATAAGAACACTGACTTCTACATCGACTAACCCCGCAAGTCATTGTATATTAAACATGGCCTTTAATAAGGTACCACGATGCTGAATGTGGTGGAATGCGTGCCGCATCCGAATTGATCAACAGCGGGATTGGTAGACAGCAAAAACTTCACCCTTTATCCTTTTCTCAGAGCAGTGCAATACATTTAGGGAGGTCTAGTGTTTGTGAGTCTCCGCCCATTCAATTATCGATCGCGGAATGTGTCTTTAATGAGCGTGGCAGTGGAACTGGGGAGAAACTCTTGCAGTCAGTGGAAAAGGCTGAAGAGTTTTTGAGAAAATCGACTGGGTAGTTTTACTGACCTCTCACTTTTCTTAATGGTTTATTTATCAGATTTTTTACATTATCTGTGATGGAATATTTATCGATTTTTTTCGTTCAATGAATTGTTCAGCGATGATAATTATTGGAATAGAAAAAAAAACTACGCTTTTGAACGCATAAAACTAGCAGTTGGTTAGTGTTATGAAAAAAACCATCACTTATCTCTTATTTGGCCAGATCCAAGCTTTCTTTGCGCAGAATCAGCTGATGAAGAATTACCTCTCTGTTCTCCTCGATGTTATAACACGTTGGAAAAATAAACAATAGCAGTGAAAAATAACAAAATCAGCGCAAAGGAATGGCCAAAAAGCAAAGGGGCTATCAGAAGCTATCAATAGGCGGTAGGTAACTTAATTGTAACTATCTTTGAAAATATTCTCTCGTTTTCAGTATACGCTCCAAGCGCCGCACCACAACCTCATACTCCGCAGACACCACAACGCGCCCTAGATCGCCGGACGGTGATGTCAGCAGCTTTGCTGTTAGTATCTTCTATTAATCGTGAGTAGTCAGAGCTGTTTTGTTGGCTGTGATTTTTCATAAATATGGTTCATTTACAATTTTTGATCGAGCGCAGGGGTGTGGTGTGGGGGTCGTATCTGGTCACTGGAAGAAGCAAAGAGGTAGTATTTATTTTCGAGAGGAGTGTTGGTCCAGGTGCGCACCCCCATCATGCTGTTACTTGTTATTGGGGAAAATTGAAATAAATTTTTTGGGACACAAAAAGCGGGGTAGAAGCATGGGAGTAGATCTGGGGAAGGTTTCAGGAGGGATGACAGTATAGGTGGAGTAGTATAGTAGCTAAAAAAACAGGAAATTTATAAAGGGGGACGCGGCAGGTACCGTCTATTTGCAAACCAGTTGCTTCGCCCAACAGCAGAGACCTGCACGTCTCAATGGCCCAGCTTGGTTTTCGTGGAGGTAGAAAATTCTTTCGTTGAAGGATTTGGATGAACACGTCACTTAGTGGCGTCATGGATTAAATGCGTTCCAGAATGGAATGACGTTTGCGCAAGTCGGGTCTGCATTGTCAATTGCCAGCGGCCACGTATTTTTCATGTGGACGTCATCGCGTCAGTTATTGTTGGCGCTTATTTGTATGCAGTTCATGAAACGTCTGCCGCTTTTCACTAAGGTCTGCACTGGTTAGAAAACCTCGATGCGGTGGATTCATCTGATAAGAGTGGGAGTCGTCTTGGTATCGCTAAGGGGTGTGAGTTCTTTGTTATAGCTATTTTTTCTTTCCTTCGCGCTGATGGTGGGATATCCCTGAGGTCGAGAAGGAGCGGGTGGAGGGGTGGGGGATACTGTTATTTCCAATAGTCGAAGTGGTCAATAGTCAGCTGAGTTGGTAGGTGGAGACTCCTCTCCAGCCCGCCCTCTTCTGTCCTCTCACACCCAACCCTTTTTCGAGGAAAAACTGGAAAAAAAATGTTCCGGCGGAGGTGTTGGAAAAGTTGTAGAAGGGTGAACGATTGCGAAAGGGAATCCTATCAGAAGAGGAACATTGGGGGAGAGTAATATTATGCAGAAGTTTTCCCCCGCGACAGGAGGGGCAGTAGGGCAATTTTTCCCGGACTAAATGGCACTAATTTTTAGCAGTATTTGATTGCAATCTGTTTCATACCACTGTTATTTGCCGGAAGTGACCGATACGCAGATTAGGTTACCCTTCAGACGGAATTGGTACCAATTGCTCGAACTGAGGGGTGGGAGGGTCCGTCCACCTAAGCGGTATTTGATTCGGCATTTGGTCCCCTGGGTTGTAAGTATGGTAAGCGCTTTTACTTGTCATTACACCGTCACCTGGGAGTTGTTGGGTCTGGGAGTTGTTACCAAAGTGTAATTGGATTTTACATTTCTCTTCAACATTGCACTCTTTGAGAGAGATGGGGAAACCTATGCATTTGGAATGGCCATGTGCATTAAATAGCCTCTAGCCTCATATTATAGCTGATGTTTCGCATCTTTCTGAATTCTCTGTAAAACTCCCATAGAATAGCGATGTGGGCCGTTGAGGTGTTCGACGAAATACACAGGGAGTGGAATCATTTATTACGCTACGCACAACCCTTTTATCCGAAATTATACCAGTCCTCTGTCGCTACTCTTCATTCTTTCCACTCTCATCTTTCGCATCGTTCTCCTACAGTAGGGACGGGTTGAAGTTCCCCAAGTGGTCACGCAGGTCAAAACAAGAAGTTAGACAAGTTTGAGACTCCTATTTCTGAGATTAAACTGCCTATTTTTAAGTTTTACGTCATCCTGTTTTGAAATCAGGTCAGGGAACGAGGGCGAATATCTCTGCACCACCAGTCTTCCCCGCTCGCATACGTTCCCCCCCCCCTCCCCTCCACCCCGAATACTCTATTGAATGTATTATTTGCTTCTGCTCTGCTGAAGAGTGCCATAGCATCCAGGCTTAGAAAGGAGGGCTTGTCGTACATTGGTGACTCCCAACGAGGGAGGGTCCTATATGGTCGCTTGAGAAAGGGGTGGGGTAGTATCTGTTTTTGAAGAAAATATTTTCGGTTGTTGACGTGGGGTAGTTTCTGCTTTTGAGGAAAATATTATTTTCGGTTGTTGACGT